GGGCCGGTCCTCTTCAACATCTTCATCAATGATCTGGACGAGGGCATTGAGTGCACCCTCAGTAAGTTTGCAGATGACACCAAGTTAGGTGCGTGTGTCGATCTGCTCGAGGGTAGGAAGGCTCTGCAGGAGGATCTGGATAGGCTGCACCGATGGGCTGAGGTCAACTGCATGAAGTTCAACAAGGCCAAGTGCCGGGTCCTGCATCTGGGGCACAATAACCCCAAGCAGAGCCACAGGCTGGGAGATGAGTGGTTGGAGAGCTGCCAGGCAGAGAAGGACCTGGGAGTGATGGTGGACAGTTGGCTGAATATGAGCCAGCAGTGTGCTCAGGTGGCCAAGAAGGCCAACGGCATCCTGGCTTGTATCAGAAACAGCGTGACCAGCAGGGCTAGGGAGGTGATCGTCCCCCTGTACTCGGCTCTGGTGAGGCCGCACCTCGAGTACTGTGTTCAGTTTTGGGCCCCTCGCTACAAGAAGGACATCGAGGTGCTTGAGCAGGTCCAAAGAAGGGCGACGAAGCTGGTGAGGGGCCTGGAGAACAAGTCCTACGAGGAGCGGCTGAAGGAGCTGGGCTTGTTCAGCCTGGAGAAGAGGAGGCTCAGGGGCGACCTTATCGCTCTCTACAGATACCTTAAAGGAGGCTGTAGAGAGGTGGAGGTTGGCCTGTTCTCCCACGTGCCTGGTGACAGGACGAGGGGGAACGGGCTGAAGTTGCACCAGGGAAGTTTTAGGTTAGATGTTAGGAAGAGCTTCTTTACTGAAAGGGTTGTGAGGCATTGGAACAGGCTGCCCAGGGAGGTGGTGGAGTCACCATCCCTGGAAGTCTTCAAAAGACGTTTAGATGTAGAGCTTAGGGATATGGTTTAGTGGGGACTGTTAGCGTTAGGTCAGAGGTTGGACTCGATGATCTTGAGGTCTCTTCCAACCTAGAAATTCTGTGATTCTGTGATTCTGTGATCTCCAAATACACACTAATGATTGAGAACAAATAAAGTTTTATCCACCCTCTCTCTAACATCTGTAATGTCTTTATACTTTTCCAAGTACTGCTTAACTGTTCCATTAGCCCTTTCTACTATAGCGTGACCAGTTGGTGAATGTGGAATACCAGTTATATGCTTAATGTCCCACAGTTCCATAAATCGCTTAAGTGGCCCACTAACATAGGCTGGACCATTTTCGTCGAATCGGTTGCAGAGCTGTGTCAACATAAAGCTGACATAACATAGGTGAATTACGCATTCCCTGGGGTAATACAGTCCATTCAAATCTTTGATCCGGACCTTCACGATTTATTGCCGGGAGAGTAAAGGCAAACCTCTGTTTGTCATTTTCATAGAGGGCTATTGTGAGAAAACAGTCTTTCAGATCCACAATCAATAAATGCCAACCCTCTGGTATCATAGCAGGATTAGGTAGACCAGGTTGCAGTGCTCCCATGGCACACATTTGATTATTAACCGCTCGCAGGTCGTGAAGTAAACGATATTTCCCGGATTTCTTGGGAATCACAAAAATTGGACTGTTCCAAGGGCTTGTTGACAGTCTTAGGTGCCGTTGTTGACACTGCTCTTGTACTAGTCTGTGAGCATGTACTAGACTTTCCCGTTTTAGCGGCCACTGCTCAACCCACACAGATTCATCATTTTTCCATTTTAGTGGGATTGGGAAAGTCCAAGCAATGGCCATACCTATAAATGGTGGTCTGACGTAAGAACCATTCCCATCTGAGCAAGAATGTCTCTCCCTATCAGTGCTTGTACTCCATCTGGCAACGGTAAGACAGATACACTGCATTTTACAACTTTGTCACCTATTGTCCATTGCAGTACTGGTGATCGACGAGCAATAGTCATACCTCCTACTCCTGCTACAGTGGTACTGGATTCGAATGTAGGCCAATGCGGTGGCCAAGTTTGCGCACTGATTATTGTCACATCTGCGCCAGTGTCCAACAATGCCTCAATTTGCAGTTTCTCATCCTTTAAACATACTGTGATTTTCTGTCGTGGTCTCTGCTGCATGCCAAGCGTTAATAACGCTACTTTTCCTGTGGAGCCAAATGCTCCGCGTCCTCGGTCCTTATTGACCATCGGTGGTAGAGATGCCACAAGGTGTGGCAACGGAATTAATTGAGCTATCTTTGTATCCCGCGGCACATGCATTGGAGGTAACATTGCAGAAACCATAATCTGTATTTCCCCAAAATAGTCTTTATCTAGAAGTCCAACCAATATTTGTAATCCATTCAAGGTAGCAGACGATCTTCCGATCAATAAAGCTCCCACAGGATCACCATTGACAATAACTGGTCCCATAACTCCTGTCCTTACCCTGGTGGGTTTAGAGTCCAATAGCGTTACATCTACTGCTGTTGCCAAGTCCAAGCCGAGGCTCCCTCTGGTGGCTGGTCGGAGGTAAAGGCATTCTCTGCAGACATTGGTGACGGGGCTGTTCCGGCCGCTGTCCTAAATGCCGCTTTTTGTGTCGTCGCGGGGCGGTCCTTCCCGCTGCTCAGGCCGTTTCCCGACGCACCATGTTGACAGGTCTCTGTGTTATGCGTATTGGATTGGCAGTTCTGACACCACACTGATTTCGTTTTGCACTCTCGTCTCATATGTCCCGTGATCCCACAGCGAAAACAACGCGGTCGTGGTGAAGACCCTTGGCCAGTAGGACGGCCTCCGGGCGTTTGCAAAGGAGCAAGGGCAGTGAATACTTGATTCTGCGATTGCTGTGCAGTCTCTCTTAATACCTGTGCCTGTTCTTTCATGCTATTCCCTAGTTGTTTTATTGCTTCTACCAATATAGCCTGCGGACCCACGGGTACCTGAGCCATCCTTTCTAAACCCTCCTCAATTGTCCAAGTTCCTGGTAATGTAGCTAATATACTACGAGTTGAAGGGTTGCAGTTTTGAATTGCACACTGCTTTAGAATAGTGCCCTTTAGATAATCAGGTACTCCAGCCGCGTTTGCTACTCAGTCAATAAACAACCCAAATGGTTCCTCCCTTCCTTGCTTGATGCCCATATAGGATGGTATCCCCCCGGCTCTCTAATTTGGTCCAAGGCTCTCCGAGCCAATCTCATTGATTCTTTAGCTTTGTCTGGACCCAGCAACGCTTGTGCCTCTAATCTATAATATGGTCCGAGTCCCATCAATTCCTCCAACGTGACACCATGCAACGGATCTCCAGGTGCCCTTATCGCAGCTACTGCCTCTTGACAAACACTTTGCCAATGCGCATTAAAAAGAAGCTGTTGATGTTGTGTTAGGATCAGCTTCATTATACTACGTATGTCCCCGGGGAGCAATATATTAGTTCCCCAAATATAATCTAACATTTGCCGAGTAGGTTCCCCCTTTAAACCAGAATCATTTACGGTAGGTCGTAACTGAGTTAATAGTTTCCAGTCTAAATTTGTCATATTAACGGTTACATTCCCCTGTGCATCTGGTGGCGAGTATACTACCGGAAAAGCTTGTGTTAACTGTGTTGACGTTTCATAATTCCCTTCACACAGTGCCTCATTTGCTATTTGCCTCCATAGACCTTCTCTTCCCTGTGCCCCTGTTGTGAAGGGATTTGTATTTGATAGAAATGGGTTAGCACTGGTCCTTCCACTTGCTCCTTCCTCAGTTTCTATTGGAGCGGTTGGAGCTGCTGGTAGTGAAAGCTCCTCCTCTGCTACAGAGGACATTGTCACAGGCACCTCCGAATTTCCCGAGACCCCCTGTGTAATAGTAAAAGTTCTAACGGAAGGTGGCAACGGGCAATCTGTTCCTTCCATATTTATTTGCTGTGGATTAACATTATTAACCCTTCCTGGTGGTCCTAACCGCTCTCTTGCAGCAGCGGCAACTCTTTGTTCAGCTTTATGTATGGCTAATACATTAGTCACTGCTCTCCATGGCTTCATCAATTTTTTAGCAGCCTTATTTTCATTAATAACATCATCAAACAATTTATCTCCAAATTTACACCACTCTGCTTGCTCAAATACTGTATCAGGATTTGTAAAACAACCCTTAGCTACCCCATATGCTAATAACCCCGGCAAATCTTTTTTACAATCTATATCTAAAATGCTCCGCTTTTCTAAAAAGCATTTGAGCAAATAATACGCCGCTTGTCTCTCCATACCTTTATATACGTCGGTTGCAGCCTTTGCAAAGACCTCGGTGGCGCTTCTCCGGCGGGACCCTAAATAGGCTCATCCCGGGTGCGGGGACTCCCTTCCACCTTCCGAGCTGTGGGTGCGGGGGCTCCAAGTTTTCGTCCCTTTCACGTTTCAGACCTCGGCGACGCATGACCGGCGGGATCCTCTCCCGGGTACGGGGGACTCCACGTCCCTTTCACCTTCCCGCCGCGGGTGCGGGGATTCTTGTCCCTTCCACCTCCTGGGCTGTGTTGCAGGACCGGTTCCTCCCTTATTCCGTCCAACCGTGGCCCTGGATCACTGCCAGCAGTGTCCAAATCCCGTTCAGACCGGTCCCTGTTCGGGCGCCAATTTGTTGCCGACGGAAGGAAGACCCAGACGCTCAATATGAGTGAACAGTGGACTTCAACTTTAATGGATAGCTCAGTCGCCTTTTATCGAGTTCGAACATAATCAACTCATACATATTGCAGAAACTAAGCTCAGGATTGGCTAACACTTCCCGGGCTTTTCAGTCAGTTTCTCCTTCTTTTAGCCACCGTCCCGCCTTAGGGACTTTCCCCCGATGGCCCAAGGGCATTGTGTCCTTGAGCCTGATTGGCTCTCAGCCAGCTGCGTGCGTGCCCAGGCTCATGTGAGTTAAGTACGGTACTTCACTAGCCCATTGTCTCCCAACTGCTCAACATCCACATGTCCTACTTCACTTAACCATTCCTCCACAGCACCGGGCAGGCGCCCCCTGCCCCCGGAGGGCGGTGCCCCCAGGCTGGACGCCCCTGGTGACGCCCTTTGTGACACCCTTTGTGACCCCCTGCCCGTGTCCTGGCAGCAAAGCCGAGTGCTGCCTGCAGCAGGCAGAGCTCAGTGCTGTCGCCGCCACTGGGGAAGCGACAGCGCGTGTGTGGCCGGGAGCGTGGCTGCGGCTCTGCCCTCGCGTGGTGCCTCTGCCCTGCCGCGGGGCTCCCAGCCGTCTTGACTCCCGTCTCCCTGTGCCTCCTGGTGCCACTGCCCTGAGGTGGGCCATGGCCTCGTCCGCGACGCAGCATGCAGGGGGTCTTGTGCTGCATGCCGCGGCCGCCTGCGGCGACCTGGCCCTGCTGCAGCGGCGCCAGTGGCTGAGGAAGCTGTGCATCAACTGGGGGGATGCGGAGGGGCGGTAAGGGGCAGCCAGTGCCCACAGCCAGGCCCTGGCCCTGCCTGGAAACGCCCAGCCCAGGCGGAAGCGCTCTGGGCCCTGGGCCGGCCCGTCGTGGGCTGTCTGCCTTCATGGCGTATCTGGAATTTGCAGGACTCCTCTGCATTTTGCTTGCGCCAATGGCCACGTGGATGTCGTTCAGTTTCTGCTGAGGAAGAAGTGCAAGCTGAACCCACGGGACAACCGGAAGAACACGCCCCTGATGAAGGTATGTGAAAACACGACGCCGTTGCTGTAGATGGGGCTTGTCGGCTCCACTCGGAGGGACGACGGCTTCCCGGCGGCATTCTTGACGTAGGGGCGCTGCGGTCAGCGCAGGACGGGCACGTGTTCCCTGCCCGTTGGAGACCCTCGCGCGTTGGGGAGCTCTCTCTGGCAGAGAGCAGCATAGGCCTTGCGAGTCATTCCCTTCCTGTCTCTGCTCTCCAGGCGGTAGTGCACAAGCAAGAAGGCTGCGTGGTTCTTCTGCTAGAGCACGGCGCTGACCCAAACGTCACAAATCATAGAGGCAACACCGCCCTTCACCTCGCTGTCCACGCTGGTAGCGTGTCTGTGGCGGGGATCTTACTCCAGCACAACGCCCGGATTGATGCTCAGAATGAGGTAACCTGGTAGCTCGGGCAAGGCTGTCCTTACAAAAAAAAAAGCGACGTCACTTTTCTCTCCTATGCTAAGGCAGATTCTCTCTCCTTGCAGATGGGATGCACGCCGCTTGCTCTCGCAGTCTCCTGCAGTCGCAAAGAGATGATAGAGTTCCTTCTGGAAAAAGGAGCCAACGTGAATGCGAGAGATCGCTCTGGAAGGTGAAGGGTTTTTCAAAAGTTTGCCTGGGTTTCCTTAGCATTGCTCAAGTGAAATTGATCAGAGGCACAGGAACGAGCTTTGCAAAAGAAGCTGGAGCCGCACAGGAGGCGTTCCTTCTGCATGCCTTGTGAAAGCAGATCTGCGGTGACTGCGGTCTTCCTGCAGGGGCAGTTTTCCATGCTGAGGGCTGCAGGAAAGCATTGTCTGCGGTGCTCCCAGCACACAAGTTTGTGCAGCCTCCAGCCTCTGAAGGAGGCTTTGAAGGGCAGAATGGGAGAAGCCCCGAGCAGCCCAGTCTGACCTGATAGCTGGAGACCTGCCTGGAGACCTCCTGAGGTCCCGGCCAACAGGAGGTCGCTCGCGCTTTGCCTTTGCTTTCGCTGTCCCTGTAGGAAAGGGGGGAATCGGTTGCCTGGCAGGCAAACGGGGAGGGGACTAAAACAACAGCAAGGCGAAGCTGATGTCTTTTCCACCTGGTTTTGGATGCTCTAGGAGTATTTGTGCGATTGCTGCTGTTGCGGGGGATACGGACATGATTCGACTTCTTCTTCGGCATGGTGCCGATCCTTTTAAGAAAGACTTCTCCGGCAAGTCAGCCAAGGATTACTTCAAAGAGCACCATAACAAAGAGTAAGTGTTGTGCGTCGCTCATTGCAGGGGGTTGTCCAAATGTCCGTGCTGTCTTATGGACCGCTTGCAGAGGCACCGGAGTTTAAGGAGGCGTTGAGACCTTTGTGTCAGCTGGGCTCAGTGGCATCTGCGGATGCATCTCCTTCCCGCATCCTTTTCAATAGTAGCCCGGGTCTGCAGCAACTTTGTATTTATTTATCTTCCAAGGTTTAGCTAAGAAGCAAACCTGCAAGTGGTCTCTTCCAGAGCCCCAAGTTCCCCTCTGCCAGGCTGGACAGAGGATGTAACAGCTGCCCAGCAGCGGGGAGTTACCCTAGAGAGGGGAAGAGGCATCTAGGGACTGACTGAAGGTGCCTGGAATGAGTAGGAAATCTGCAAGAGGAGCGCAAGCAGCAGTGTGTGTGTAACCCTTTATCGGCTGGCTCTGAAGCTGTACGGGCTGGACAATGAACGGCTGCTGCTTTTCTAGCGAGGACTGTAGGCGAGGCTGTGGTTACTATTCCCCAAATGAATTCCCTTTCTTTCTGTCTGTAGTTTGAATGAGATACTGGAGGAAGCCGCAAGCTCAGTAATCCCGGGAGAGTCTCCTGGAGATGCTGCAAAAGGCACAGCAGTGCCCGAAGGCTCCTGCCCGGTGACAACTGGTGGGTACCGATTAGGCACACTTGCGCTGAGCGGAGTAGGCGGGATCCTTAAAAGTGGACGAGATGATGCGGAAAGCCCAATCTGGCCTGTAGCAGAGTAATAACCCACTTCTGGGACGCAGGGCTGGAGTGATGGGGAGAAAGAGAGTGAAGGAAACACAGTGATTGGTTTCTCACCAATCACTAAGTGGCAACACCTAGGGGTCTGGCTCCTGGGAAGGTTTTGGGCAGTGCATCTGAGAGAAGGGCGATCTTTTCTGTTAGCGCTACGGAAAGAGCGCTCTTTCTTGTCGACTTCCCGTCAGCACGAGGATGCTTCCTTTGCACAGTGCTTCTAGAATGCCTCCTGGCCAGTGCAACGTGCCCCGAAACACCAGGGTCTGGAGGTGTTGTCCAGAGACCAGACGGCCCAAACTGTCCATGCCCCGCGACTCCTGCTCGCCAGAGTCTCTTCCTCGATGCCCCCAGCCACTTGTGGGGTGCTGCTGAGAGCCACGTGCGCTGTCATGCTTAGGCACCTCCTGCTGGAAAGGAGGCAGCAAGAGGTGGTGAAGCCAAGAGAATACCGTGCTGCGGCTGGGTGCGAAGGCACCCCGGGAAAACACTTCCTACCTGCATTTGTACTGCGGAGTTGAACCGCTCTGCGGCACTTGATGCAGGGCTTGAGGGCTGGGGAAAAGCAGAGAGCAACGGACACTCAGAGCGCCTCGTTTCTGACTTCCTTTGCAGATTACGTGCTGCTGCTGTCAACAGAGTACGATGAATTTGGAGATGAAGGTGAAGATGGAGGTTTCAATGCTGAGGTATGATTCTGAGGATGACGAAGCTGTGGCAGACGTTGTGCTTCTGCATCCCAAGTGCTGAAAGACGGGGCAGTGGTGCGTTCTTTCTGGGCAACCCTTCCACGCTGCCTGACTGTCTGTGTTCTTGCTCACTCAGGGGTCTGCGAAGGAGGAAGAAAACCTTCCACAACGACAGGATGCTGAAACTCGGCTGCATTTTCGGGACAATACACAGGTGACTGAGTGACGCAGATCAGTTGTGCAGATGCCTGCTGGTGGCGGGCACGATTTCTTAGGTTCAAACTGCAGCAGCAGACCGATCTACTGACAGTGGTGCGTTCTTTCTGGGCAACCCTTCCACGCTGCCTGACTGTCTGTGTTCTTGCTCACTCAGGGGTCTGCGAAGGAGAAAGAAAACCTTCCACAACGACAGGATCCTGAAACTCGGCTGCATTTTCGGGACAATACACAGGTGACTGAGTGACGCAGATCAGTTGTGCAGATGCCTGCTGGTGGCGGGCACGATTTCTTAGGTTCAAACTGCAGCAGCAGACCGATCTACTGACAGTGGTGCGTTCTTTCTGGGCAACCCTTCCACGCTGCCTGACTGTCTGTGTTCTTGCTCACTCAGGGGTCTGCGAAGGAGGAAGAAAACCTTCCACAACGACAGGATGCTGAAACTCGGCTGCATTTTCGGGACAATACACAGGTGACTGAGTGACGCAGATCAGTTGTGCAGATGCCTGCTGGTGGCGGGCACGATTTCTTAGGTTCAAACTGCAGCAGCAGACCGATCTACTGACAGCATTGAATGAGTAAACGCGTCTCTCGTCTTGTCGCGTCCTTACTAACTTGTGCATTCTCGTGTAATGCCATTTCTTCAGGGTGTGGTCAGACAGCTGCCGCAGGAGCTTCCCGGTGCTCCTGAAAAGCAGCCCAAATCCAAAGCTCCTCTTGAAGACCCGATGCACCACCACGGGCGCCTGAAGGAAGAGAAGAGGCGTTTGCAGAAGGAATTGGACAAGTATAAAGCCAAGGTATGGCAAGGCAGTCTGCTGCCGCCTCTGCAGGGGCCCAGGCCTTTTTCGTGGCAAACCCAAATAGGGATCTGCTCCTGTCGCGGGGTTTTGTGTAAGCCCGGCTGGTAGGGAACGAAGGTAGACGTTGGAGAGGGGCCAGTACAAAAGATGCTGAAGTACATGTAACGTGGCTTTTGAGAGGTGCCTGGAGAGTCGAATCTGTCGACTCCTTTTTGTCAAGCCTAAGCTCACTTGTGTGAATCCCTGTTGCGACTTGACAGCTGCTGCGATCGCAACAACAGTATATCGAGCGCTTGAATTACGGAGTTGGCCTGCAGATTGCTATAGAGAAGATGGAGAGGGAAGTAACAGCTTCTTGTGTGAAACAGCAAAGCGTTCTGGTAGCATCTGCTGCAGCTGCGGTCATCAAACATCTGGAGGAGCGCGTGCAACGGTAAGGGAGTACGAGAGGGGGAGCAAGGCTTCACTTTTGGGGACTGTGTGAAAGCCAGAGGGTTGCTTTCTTGCCGCACAGCAAGTTCGTGCAGGCTTCTGAAAGATGCTTTTGCTTGGGGCTCTGCTACTTCACGCTCTTCTTCCCGGCTTAATACTCTTGAGGCCTGCTGTATCCACACGACTGTAATTGCTTGTATGTCTTTCTTAGGCTCGAAGCTCAAAATGCCAGACTGGAAGCCACGGCCCAGCAACAAGCCATGATCATCGAGGCCCTCCAGAAAGAGCTGCAAGCCTCTGCCTCAGTAAGCTAGCCACAGACTTCCCTCTTCGTGAGCTCTTGAGCCTAGTTACATAATCACATGGGGAAATCCTGCCCTTCCCCAGCTTTCTGGTTATGAGAGCCGTCCCACAATACCACAGCAAGTGCTTCTTAACGCCCTCTTAGGCAAGGCCCTGACAGTAACATGCTGGCTCAAGCCCTTTGTGCTTTAGGCCGGTCGTGAGGCTGAGAGCTCACGCTCTCTGACCAAGTGTAGCTGCTCTGCATCACTCATTGCTAGGGGTGGTCCGAAAGTCCATGCTGCTTTCAGGACCTCTTTGGTAAAGGCAAATTCCCTTATCTGCCACAGGCATGCCCTGTCTAGGCAACCGCACGTAACCACTTGTGACCGCACCTTGACTTCATTCCCTTCCTCCCTGCCCTTTTCTGTCAGCCTGTCTCGATGAGTAGCAGGAGAGAAGGGGACCTGGGTGAAGTTTGGAGTAAACACACCTTTAGGAATAAAGCACGTTTGAAGGGGGAGAGTAGAAAAAGAAAGAAAAAACACCGCACGTTCATTCCTCTTGTTCATCGGTCTGGCACAATAGAAAGGATGTGTTTATGCGTCATTTCCCATAGTTTTCAAATCTCTTTTAAGCTCGGTTTGGTTACCGCCATGTTCTTCCCAGGGATTTCTGTGGTCCAGGCCACTGTAAAACTAACAGCGTTTTCTTTCCCTGCCCCTCCCCAGTCACCGCCAAACTGTCAGTCGGCAGTGATGAGATGATGCTGGAGCCAAGGAAGAGCCAATTCCAGAAAGCAAAGAGCAGATCTGAAGACACGAGCCTGGAAAACTCTGACTCCACCTCGTGCAGCTCCCCCCCGGCATTTTGTTCCACACGTGCTGCTCCACCTTGCTGTTCAATAAACTTTGCCAGCTAGTCTGCGTCTTTGTCGTCATACACGGTCAGATTCACTAAGTTTGGAAAAGACTTGCAAGACCATCAAGTGCCCTGGTCAATCCAACCTACGAAGCCCCATTGGTAGGGAAGTTCTTCCGGAAGGACAGTCCCAGGTCCTTCTCCTCAGTGCTGCCAATTTCTCTAGGAGAATGCTGTGGGTGAGAGTGTCAAAAGACCCTGCCCTTTGTAAACCTATGCTGGCTGCTTCTGACCACTCGGTTGTCCCGTACATGCCTTGGGATGTAATCGGGATGATCTGCTATGTGACTTCCCCTGGTACCACAGCCAAACTGACAGGCCTCTAATTCCCTGAATCTTCCTTCCTGCCCTTTTTGTAGACTGAAGTCGCATTTGTTAACCTCCAGTCAACTAGGACCTCCCCAGTTAGCCAGGACTGCTGGTCAATTCTTGAAAGTGGCTTGGTGTTCACAGAGTGGCTTGGCTCCTTGAAGCAGAGGCTCTAGGTGCTCCCTTGCCATCTGAGCTGAGCATTAAGCTTTCTTCCTTTGGTCCCGTGACTTCCGAGTTGGGCTGGAGGGTGCCACAGCCTCAGCTGGACAGCAGGGGTTTATACTAAACACCAGGACACACACACAGGGTCATTCTCTTGGTGGTTTGGGAGCGTCTGAGTGGGCTCAACGCACACAAATCCAGGGGCCCCGATGGGATGCATCCCCGTGTGCTGAGGGAGTTAGCAGAAGTGATTGCCAAACTGCTCTCTATCATCTTTGAAAGGTCTTGGAGAACAGGAGAGGTGCCTGAAGACTTGAGGATAGCCAATGTCACTCCAGTCTTCAAGAAGGAGGATCCGGGAAACTACAGGCCAGTCAGTCTCACCTCCGTCCCTGGAAAGGTGTTGGAACAGCTTGTTCTGGATACCATCTCCAAGCAATTGGAAGAGAAGAAGGTTATGAGGAGTAGTCAGCATGGATTCACCAAGGGGAAATCTTGTTCGACCAACCGTGTAGCCTTCTGTGGCATCACCAGCTGGGTAGACGGGGGGAGAGCAGCGGATGTCATCTACCTGGACTTTAGCAAGGATACTTGACTTTAGCAGGATACTGCCTCCCACCACATCCTGCTAGCAAAGCTGAGAAAGTGTGGGATAGACGAGTGGACAGTAAGGTGGGTTGAGAAGTGGCTGACTGGCCGAGCTGAGAGGGTGGTGATCGGTGGTGTAGAGTCTAGCTGGAGACCCGTGACTAGTAGTGTTCCCCAGGGGCTGGTGCTGGGTCCGGTCTTGTTCAACCTCTTCAACCTCTTGTTCAACCTCTGAGAGACCTGGTTCTGTTCAGCCTGGAAAAGAGAAGACCGAGAAGGAATCTGATCAACGTTTACAAATATCTTAAGTGTGGGAGACAGTGGGATTCGGCCAACCTCTTTTCAGTGGTTTGTGGGGACAGGACAAGGGGCAATGGCCACAAAATGGAGCACAGGACGTTCTGCACCAATCAAGCAGGGACCTCCCCAGACTCCCATGACCTTTGGTAAATTGTTGAGAGGGGTCCAGCTGTAACACCTGCTTATTCCTTCAGCACTCTGGGGTGAATCCTGCCTGGCCCCATGGACCTATGAATGCTGAGCTGATACAGCTGTTCCCTTACAATTTTGGTGACCACAGAAAGGAAGTCATTGCTCCCTTGTCATGGTCCCCCAACTCGGAGGTCCAGGCAGCCCAAGATGTTGAGAGAGGGAGTTAGGAGAATCTTACCAAGTAGCGAGAGAGCGCTGGCAGCATTAAATTAGGATGCTACTTCGTGTCTTTGCTAACTATGCTGCATTGTGCAAATTAACTAAAGCAAGAAGCCTTGGGCCCCTTACCAAGGTCAGTCTCCTAAAAAGAGGGTGAGCCTATCTCAAGAAACTGGTAGAAACTGCTCCTGTGGATGGACAAGAGCCAAGGCAGAAAACCAAGCAAGGCAGAAAACCAAGGCAAGTTGCTGCGTCAGGTGCGCACGACGTTGGTGGGACCATCCCCCCGTGCTGCCCAGCGCTGAATAAACAGACCTACGGTACAATCTGACTGACTGTGCAGCCCGTTTTCCGCAAGTCAATGTGCTGCTACTGTTAATCTGGATGTTACTACCATCTGGTCCAACCACTCCCCTACTAGCAGTATTAATAACAACCTATCCCCCGCATTCCCACATCTTCTGCCAAGAAAGAGAGAAGGGTTATTGTCATATATATGTCCCTTCTGAAAGGGACAGAGGGCCCGATATGCTGACAGGACCCAACCCCCAGGGAAGTCTGCTGCCTCCCTGGGGCTCGGGTGAGAGACATTGCCAGGAAAGGCACTCACCTGGTACGGCCCACCGACTACTACCTGCTACTGTTTTTTCTGGCTGGTAATGATGAAGTAGCAAGGAGAAGTCCAAGAGCAATCAAAAGGGACTTTAGGGCTTTGGGGCGACTGGTTAAAGATTCAGGGGCACAGGCTGTGTTTGCCTCTGTCCTTCCGACAGGAGGGATCAATGTTGACCATTAGACTCAGCTCATCAATACATGGCTTCGAGACTGGTGCAGCCAGCAAAACTTTGGGTTTGTTGATCATAGGAAGGTCTACATGACGCCAGGCCTGCTGGCACCAGATGGGATGTGCCTCTCTCAGAGGGAGAAAAGGATTTTTGCCCAGGAATTAGCAGAGCTGATAGATAGGGCTTTAAACTAGAGCCAAAGTGGGAAAGGGATAAAACCAGACCCACCAGTGATAAGTTAAGGGGTGGTGTACTAGAATCAGAGGCGTGGTGTGCTAGTGAGGTCCTTCGGTGTGCTCCATCAGGTGCTGTGTACAATGAGGCACATTTGAAGTGCTTCTATGCAAACGCACGCAGTATGAGGAATAAAACGGACGAGGTAGAAGTCTTGGCCCAGTCCCAGAGCTACGACATCATTGGCGTAAGTGAAACCCGGTGGGATGTGTCCTGTGGCTGGTGTGCTGCAATAGATGGTTACAAGCTCCTCAGGAGGGACAGGCAGGGCAGACAAGGTGGTGGGGTGGTGCTGTCTATGAAGGCCTCCACCTTTTTCTCCTTATTTTTAGGTGGCCATCCACTCCCAGTATCATTTCAGTGGTTTCTTTTGACATCTTGCTGTATTCATACTTAAAAAAAACTTTTTTTGTTGTCTGACACCACAGTGGCCAGTGACAACTCAAGTTGGTCTTTGGCTTTTCTTGTTTTCTCCCTGTAGATGAGAACTGCAGCTCTGTAATCTGCCTATGAAGCTAGAGCTTGCTTCCAGAGGTCTCAGATTTTCTTTTTCCATGCTAGTTCCAGGAGGACATCCCTGTTCAGCCAGGCGAGTCTTATGTCCTGTTTGCTAGACTTGCAGGATTGCCTGCTCCCAGGCTTTTAAAGGTGGTTCTTGAAAAACAACCAGCTTTCATGGACCTCTAAATGCTCTAGAGCAGATTCTTAGGGAACACTGCTAAGTAGTTCCCAGGGAAGAGAGCATTTAAAACAAAGAAACAAACAAACAAAAATACGCTTACCACTGATCTTATAGTATATCCAACTAGTCAAGAAAAAGGTGCAAAGTCCGAAACTGAATGGTTTCAAGTTCTTGCTGTACTCATCTTCAGAGCTGTCAGCTGAAATGTCTTCAGGGAGTTGATAAAGTAATAGTATATTAAAAACATAAGCTGCATGCTTCAGAGTATAATTTGCTCACCAAGCACTAAAGAATTTATCCATCTGGAAGGTTATTCTGCAGCCATGCTTTATATAGATTTAATTATTTTGTGCTTTTCATGATAGGATTTTCTTAGACACTTCTTTTATAAGTTATATTTAGAGACAATCCAGATACAGCTTTTTTTTCAAAGCTGACCTTTCTTCAAGACTGCAGAGTGTAGGCGTTAAATTCAACTCAGGTAAGCAAGTATCTGTTTGCAATTTTTGCTTCAGTGAAACAAAATCTGCCACTAGAGGGTAGTGTTAAGACAAAAAAAAGTATTTTTGGAATAAATCTGTATCCAGGATAAAATAATTTAAACTCTCCTGCACGTTTATAAACATGCAGTAGATTTTACTGCTCTAGTCAGGTTTGTTTTAGTATCGTTGGCTTTTTTTCCTATCGAGTTATTTATGCAGCTCTATTTCAACTGTAAACAGCAATAACAAGTATCTAGTTTCATACCTTAATATATATATGAATGCTAAAATTATTTTGTTTCATCTTCTTTGTGAGGGACTTTTTCAATGAATTGAAAGAAAAATGTAAAAAGGCTTTTATGGTTTTCTGTTGGAAACTACCCATTCACTTAAAATTGCATTGCTTTGTCTAGAATATTTCTTTTCCTCATTCTTCTTCCTACACAACAGAAGAACAAAATTATCTATTGCCAAGACAGTGCAATATGATCTAATGACTGTTGAAGTCCATTTAGGGAGTTTGATAATGTCTCTTTGTCAGCTCTCTTGCTCCAAGCTCAGCTCCAGAACTGGTCAGGATGTGAAGATGTGATCCTGGAGTGAGGCAAATCTATTCAAACCTACATCTTTTGACATATGCTTCTAGGAAGATTTTTTTTTTTTCCCTTGGGGAGGGGGGGGGGGTGTGGGGGGGCTGGGAGGGGGTATTATCTGTTTCTTTTCAATTTGACTAGTTGTCTATCAAAGGTGAGCATGTGCCAGCTTTCCATGCAAAGGCTCCCAAGGAGGCTTCTCTCAATCACTTCTCGTCTTTGTCAGTGTGTGCTCCCCAAGCAGGATTTGTTTTGTGAGGGAAAGGCATTCAAGGAGGCCATGCTGGGAGGCAAAGGCAGCATCAGGCTAGGGATTAAGCCCAATGAACGTTGGAATGTTTTGGTAGTCTACCTTGCACAGAGCTGTGTCCATGGGAAGTGAAGCCCTGCCACAAAGCCCTCCCAGACCTGCTACAGAAGTCTGTGCTGATGGCCAAACTCATCCATCACCCATGTTTCACCTCCCATCCCCAGTCTGAGTCAAAACCCATTAGCAGTTGTACTTATTCTTCCT